TTCTACGACACCTTTATTTATTTATTTGTTTGTAGTGTAATCTAATGAAAATTTGTGTAATCTAATTAAAAATTGACTATTTTACCCAATATTTATATAGTGGTACGTATGTTTATGAATATATGATCATATGCATTGCTGGTAAGAATAAGTCTTTTTTTTTTTTGTAATTTCATAATTTGTAGCATCTGCTAAATGAATTAATAATTGCATTTTGACAATGTTTTCTTGTTCATATTTATATATCATTATAATAGCAGCAGTGCATAATAAATCATATTGTGAATAAAATGAACAACTGCTAATGACCAATTGTTATGGACCAGGTTGTTTTGGTTTTGTTGCTGTTTTATTTGTTTCTACAGGTTACCAGCTATCCACCTGTTCTTAATTGGGGGAACTGGGTATTTAAGAGCTCTGTCCTTGTTTGGGGAGGAGCCTAGTTCTTTTGTTAGAACATCCTGCAATTGGTGGTTGCCATATCACATTCCTACTAATTAATATCCTATTTTCCACAGTGCAATGCAACATATGACAACTATTTAGCACTCTACAATTTAATGGTTGTATAATTTTACTCAATTTTATAACATTTCATAAAGTAAAATACATATATGTGCATATAACATATAAATGTCTATGACAGTCTGCCTGTGCACATTTCAGTTCACCTTCGAGATGCATTACTGCTCTCGACATAATGACATAATTGCAGTGTATTAATATAATGCTTTCTCCTTTCAAAATGTAGCTCACATCTTGCTGATACGAACATACAGGTGTGTGTGTGTGTGTTAAGGCTTTTATATAGAAACGTACAATTCGAGTGAGCCCAAATGCACTGATGTCCAATCTGGTTTGGCCGATAGATGATGCCATTGTCCATCGCCAATGGTTGACAGACATTGAGACCCTCTCGTCCAATTAGGCAGCGAAGAACATGTAGAAGCAGTAATGTATACATCTGCACACATTCACAAAGCTAATGTGTGCATTAACATTTTCCTGACATTGCCAGGCCATTAGCGGCTGGTTGACTGACTAGTATATTAGACCGGGATACTAATTCAAGAGGTGAACTCTGCTTTTAATGAGGGAGGATGAGTGGAGGTGTATGTACAGAAAAGGCACACACAAAAAAATAGGACAGTTTTCTTTTGAAGAATAGCAGCCGACACATACACAGACAACAAGCATTAGCCGGCGAGTCTGAACATGTTTTCTTCCTTGCGTTTAATTCACCCTATTTCACCACTCACGGTCTTTGGAAATGTCTCAGCCTTCCAAGGGGTTTGATGACATTTCCTGGTTGCATCACTACAGTCTTCAGGCTGACTTTTCCAGTTTCGAGGGAATTGTGGAAAAACGCCCACAATTTCCATTGTGTACTGAAATGTGTAACAAATAAATACCCGTTAGACTAATAGGGACTTCCCCTCACGTTATAACAGTCTAATTAATTTTAGGCCACACTTCCTTTTGTGTTAAAGCTTCCTTACTTATTTTAATCTATTAAATGGTTCATAAACCAATTAATGCAAACCCGAATTGACCGTTTGAGTTGTATTAAACAGACGAGCAGACTCTTTTGCAGGGATTTGCCATTAGAGGTTAACTGCACCATTGACACTTGGACATCGGTCTAAAGTGACATCAGTGTGTCGCTGGAGGTTGTCGAAATGCTGTTTGGCTGACTGGGGGCTGTTGGCAGGAATGCGGCACATCTCTTGTCCACTTCTCCATCTCACTTCAGACTCTATTGTAAGGTACATGACCACCAGTCAGCCTACGTCTCCATTGTAGATGCTCACTGTGTATCCTATTAGGACAGCCTCTCTCAAACTGCACTGAGAATTCAAAGCATGTTTATAAACTGGAAAAGGAGCAGAATTTAGAACAGACTCCAGAAGCACTCAAAATCTATGTATCTATATGTCTATCTATATAAACATACACACACATATTGTGTGTATATATATATATATATATATATATATATTTGTATGTAT